CCTGTCATTTCCTCTCCCTTTTCTAAAATAGCAGCTCCTCTCACTCTACATCACTTTTCCCTGCTTTGTTTTATTCACAAGTCTTTGATTCAATGAATAAAAATTATACATGAATTTGCCATTCATTACTCTCTTACACTCAGAAAGATGTTGACTATGCAGGACAGTTCATTTTGTATTCATGGGAATAGTCGTTGGCATGTGGTATGCACTCAGAAGTGACAGGTGACATATAGGTGAGACCATCTGCTCCTCCCCTTGGTTATTGTGGGCAGCTGTCCAGGCAGCAGCCTCTACTCTAGCTTGGTGCCATTGCCATTAGTATTTCCCTAGCATTCACTTCCTTTCCTCTACTTCAGTGGGTGAAATAATGAAAATAATGGTTACATCAACTTGGCAAGTTCATTCTGTCTATGTTCAGTAAAGGTACAAAGGAATGGTGCCTGTGAGTTTCTCATGTAAATACATGAATAAGAAGTATAGTCTGCTTTTTTTTGGGGGGGGGAAGTGGATTGAGTTTTTTGTTTGTTTTCTTTGTGAAATTTTATACTAAGTAGATTAAAGAAAGTGACTTTGAACTTTGAAAATATACTCCAAATATTTTATTAAGCCTAATAGGGTTTGTAGAACATTGAAAAACCATCCAAACTTAAACAAGAGACAAACTGAACTAAAAGATTGATGCAGACTTTTTTTAAATGCCTGTCTTCCTACCAATGAGGGCGATGCTTTCTGGACATGAGGATGAGTGCTTGGTATATCCTGACAACTGGCCTGGCTTACACTGAGCTGTGGCTCTTGCCCATGAGAATCTAATTGTCTTGTGTCCTTCCTTGACTTTCAAGACAACACTAAATCTGGCTCTGCTAAGTCTCCTTACCACATCAGAAAAGCATCTGGGCTAAAGGAAAAGCAGTGAAAGTTGTTTGGGGGCACTTTTTAGGGACAGAACCTCCAATAGTTGAAATATAATTCATCAGGTTTAACCTTCATATTCCCACATAGAATTGTTCGAAACATTGCAGTGTCATTACTTTCGTCTCATTTAAAATGAGCTTTAATTATTAAAGCAATACTTGATTCTTTGTAAAAACCACTCTGTCACTCAAGATATAAAAGTTTATCTGTAGAAAGTGAGTCTCCTTTAGGAAAATAGTATTTTTTACTACAAAATAACCTACAATTTGCTTATTTACCTTTACCAAATCATAATGGATGAATAAAGAGCGGCATGATATACTAATACCCAAACATACTTTAATTTCTTTCCCAATCAACCATCAAAAAACAGTTAAAATTTCATTTTTGACCTTTACAGTAATAAGAATGAAAATTTTTGTACTTTTATCACTGTGTATTTATAAAACCATTTCAGTGTGAAGTTTTGGGCTTCTAGAAGACAATGTTCTGCCACTCATGCCATCATTGTTAACTGTTCATCTCCATAGGAATTTTGTCTATAACCCTGGCAATAAGATAAATGCCTAGATGTAGAGTTATTTGTTCAAAAAACTTCCAAATGTAAAATGCTATAGTTATTGTAAAATTTTCCTCTAAAATGTTTTATACCTTAAATAAAATCACTTTCCTTTTGTGATTAATTGCAAGACATTATTGTGGAAAGTGTGGAGCATAAACTCATTTTTATTTGATGATGCTTATTTTATAGGCCGAGATGTAACAAATCATTTCTGAACTGTTTCAGATAAAGAGATCAGTCTACTAGGAGTCAAGGATTGCACATAAATGCAATATTAAACAGGATTCTAATTTTTCCTTGTAAAACAATAAATAAGGTATAAACAAATCAAATTAATATGATGCCTATAAAATCCCTTAGCATAGTACCTGCCCCATGGATAGTGCTGATTTCAGAGGCATAGAGGGATGATGGTATGGGGTAATGCTGATGGTTTTCATTATTGTGGCTGTTGTTAACACTATTTTTGAGTAGTCATGTCTGATCTGAAGCTTGGCACTCTCCTACTGGTTTTCCAAGTCAGTTGCCATCTTTTAAATTAAGAATTATAGAAGTTTTTCCAGTGATTCAATGCATTGTTCTGGGGTTTTAACTGTGCTTCCAAGAGAGGATTGTTTTATACTAAGCTTCATCTGGACAGCAGAGTGGGCTGGCACACACCACTATCCTTGGGATGCTTTGTCTTGGGACTTTATCTCCAAAGAGAGACTTTTGGCTTTATAGTCTAAGAGTTATCACTTGGACTTTCTTGCTTGACTTAGAGACAATGGGGGTATAATTTAATCAGTCTAGTGTTTTCTTGTTTAGAGGGCATACATTTGAAATTAAAGACAAAGATTTATGAACAAGCATGGAATAGATTTTAAGAGGCTGGACTTCTAGTTCCAATAGGTGATGAACTAAGTGGACTTAGAGCTAGTTGAGATCAACTGTACTGGAAGAGTTAGCCTGCCCAGTAGTTTGAGAGGTGATCCAACGCTATCCTGAAGCCTCAGACCTCTTTCATGAGATCAGACCTTGATGAAACTTTATTTAACTGGGTCTTGGTTTCTCCCTAAATCAGAGATGCTCAGCTCTATACAGACAGGAGCCAAGCAGAGAAAATGAACAGGAAAGGCAGATTTCTTTGTATATGTACTGGAGGCAGATGTCAGTGGTAACCAGTTTTGTGCATGTACAGTCGTATACTTGATTTTTTAATTTTTTTTCTAAGGGAGGGCAGAATCTCCCACTGTTTAAGAATTAATGATATTGCTCCATTTGTTAGGAAATGGAAAGACTTGGAAAAAATTATATTAAGTGAAGTAAGCCAGGCCCAAAGAAATATAGGTCCCATGGTTTCCCTTATTTGCAATAACTATTATATGTCTGGGACAAGCAGAAAAGCTCAGATAGGATGATGTTAAACGAAATGAACCCCAAGATAGGGACACAAGTGGTTTTTTCTTCCTTACTATTGTTTCTAACTTATTTATAAGGTTCCATGTGATTTTTTGTTGCTTTGTATGTCCCTCCCCCATGGGATAACCCCTGTTTTCACTGCATTTGATGTTGGTATAATTTGGGGAGGGGAAGGGAAAAAACAAATTGTTTAAATAGGGATACAGATTGACCCATTGCAACAATGAGATGTACAAGACACTATGTCGAAAAACAAACTTTACAATTTAGGCGGGGGGGGGGGGGAGGGGTGACAGGTGGGGGCTGTAGTTGAGGAGTGGGAGAAATGGGATGATTAGGGGAAAAACAGAGGAGGAGGCAACAATGTTGGATAAGAAATGTACTCATCACCTTGCTCATATAACTGTAATCCCTCTGTACAGTATTTTCACAATAAAAAAACTTATTAAAAAAAAAAAGAATTATACTCTTGCTTCCAAATGGGACTCTCGTTGGAATGATGTGGAAATCACCTAGGAAGCAAAGACAATCAAAAACCTGTCTCCAGCATGTCTACCCATGCCCTTCCTTACATGTATAGAATTAGGAAAATATATAAAAATATGAGAGCTCTAAGAGAAAGCTACGGTATTTTAATTGACAAACAGTAATTGTACATATTCTTGGGGTACAGGGTGATATTTTATCACAATGTACAATGGTCAAATTAGAGCAATAGTGTATCCATTACCTCCTGTGCACCCAGGACGCCCCTATGCTGGAGCTGCAGGGAATAGAATGACTCCTCTAATGCAGATAGGGACAGACTGAGGCTGCATTTAAATATCTCTTCAATTTGGAAGTAAGACAGTCACCAGAAGCCTTCCAGTTATGATATCTAGATCAGGGAATATTCAAAATTAAAGCAAAATCTTCTTTGTACAGCTTGCTGCACTGCTTCATATATTTTCATTCATTTTTGTATTGAGTTGTGATGTGCCAACTCCCATGTTCTAGGAAGATATATATGAATGAGACACGGCTCCTTCTATCTCTTCACAAAAGGAGAGTTGGGTGGAGGAAATCAGCCTCCCAGAACTAACTCCACCAGATACCAGTTAGCCACAATTGTAGCAAAGTCATTGCAAGCACAGCAGTGGTGTCTGATCCACTAGCTGGCTGAATTCAGAGGACATCAGCTGAGGTTGGTCAAGCCTTTGATGTTCTAGTTGAGCATCTAATGCCATATCTTTGTTGAGCTCAGTCACAAACAGGTGACCAAAGGACTACATTTGCCTGTCAGAACATTGCTTTGGACTGCACAGTGTTGACCATGTATCATTTTATATTTAATGAAATGAATTAAGTCCTTTTAAAAAAAAGTATCCTGGAGGCTTTATTGTAATATGTACTATATAATGAATATGGAATGTAATATATACCTATAATATACTTTGGTCATATTCGTTTCCTCTATTGCTTAATTCTTTATCTTCCTTCCATTCTAACGATCAAATACTAGGGGGGGGGTAAGCAGAGCGCTGGACTAGTGAAAGTTGAGAAAGCGATAGAATGAGAGAGCTAGGATATCACATGTGTTCTCAGCAATTTGGGACCAAAATCTTAGCATAATGAGAGAAAGTTCCCACAGACTGTGCATCTCCCTTCCAGTTGATGATGTTCTAAAATCACAATAGCCCCTGAAGATGGTAAGAAAGTTCCTGCAGTTTTGTAGTGGAGAAAATGTCAAGGGTCTTTCATTGGCAGTTTGACTCTCAATAAGAGCAGACTCGCTTTCCTGTGAAAAGGAAGAAAATAGTTGGAGATTTAGTCCAGACCTGGATGATCTTGTCCATATGTGGAGAAAACCCAGGCACATGATGCTGCGAGTGTCCTGTTTCAAGTCAACCTCCTCTGTCGTGAGTTGCACACCGAAAAACAACTACCACTAGTGCCATATGGCTTCAAAGATCAAAGGCCCCAGTTCTGAATATATTTCTAGCCTACTGTACTTCAAATGTCTTAAATATGTTCCTGCAGATGGGAAGCGTGGAGCATTAAAGAGGTAGGGCGCATATGTGTGAGGCATGCACGTGGTCTGTGCAAGACAGTGTTCACCCTGTGTCTGCCTTCCTTTCAGGTTCGCATCTTCACGTACCTCATTGGACGAGAGGCTGCTTTTGCAGACAATCTCAAATGGATGGCCTGTGCCAACAAAGGTGGGTCTCTGTAACATGTTCTACTCTGATTACTGCCCTTGCATGTGTGGGATTAGGAAAAGATATACAAAAGATGAGAGCTGTAAGGGAAGGCTATACTATTTTAACTGACAAACAGTAATTGCACATATTCTTGGGGTACAGGGTGATGTTTGACACATCTACACGATGTACAGTGGTCAAATTAGAGCAATGGTGTATATATCACCCTAGACATTTATCATTTCTTTAAGTTGAGAATTTTCAAAACCTCTTCCAACTAGCATTGAATTAATTATACGCTGATGTGCTCTAGAATTCTTGAACCTAATTCTCTTATTTAGCTATATTTTATACCTGTTACCCAGCCTTTCTAAATCCCTGCCTCTGCCTTTCTCAGCCTCTAATAACTATTATTCCACTCTCTACTTGAAATAAGATGACCTTTTTTAGCTTCCATATGAAAGGTAATATGTGAGAAGGCCATGGACTCTAATATCTGTTTCTAATTGATTATTAATAGTTGTTTAACAGTTCCTCCAAAAATGATGACATAGTCAAGTGGAGAGATGAAGTCTCTTCACTCTGTTGTTTAGTAGTGGTGTAATCTTGGGAGAATGTCTATGACAGAGACACTAACTATAAATGTTCTCTCACCATAGCCAGCCCTCATTCAGGCAGGCAGGATGTTGAGACTCATTCTGAGTGCTGCACTCTGAGAAAACTTAGCTTGAGGCATTTCTGGAGCTGGTGTGGGGCATTCATACGCTCTTCTGATCCTGGGAATACATCAGCTCCATGTTTTCAATGAAATAGTCCCCACCTGAGTTCTTCAGTGAACATGGGCAGATGCTTTCTGCCCTGCCCATGCCATCTACATCCCACATGGGATAAACTGTATGTTATGTGACAACCCTGTGCACCGAAATTCCTGATATGTTCCCACATGACTAATTGTTAGTAACTTTAATTCACCCAGAATTCTAATATCAGTGATGGGGATGTTAATAATGGTTCTTTTGATTTTTTCTTTTATAATTGACAAAACACGTTGTACAATGTGATATCTATCTATCTATATATAATCTGTATATACACATATACACATATACATACATACATGGTGGACAGACTAAACGAAGGTAGTTAAATATACATTGCCTCATATATTTACCATTTGTTTGTGATGAGAACACTTAGATTTTGCTGGTAACATTGTCACCATGTTGCATAATGTTGAGACAGAATAGGAAGGGAAGCCACAGGCTTTCAGTTTTTCATTTTACTTCAGGGCCAGGGAGACAAAGCATGGTAAGGCAGTAGATTGCCAACTCCCCAGATTTCAAACCCAGCCTCCACTATCCACTAAATGTTACCCAAACTATCTGGATGGACCTCAGTGTTTCACCAATAGACAAGCAGTGACGGTACCAACCCAATACACATTATAGGCCATGTAAGTTAAGCCAGTAGCCCAGCCTGGACATACAAATACCTGAAATGACTCTTTGTGTTACGCCACCTGTGGATCTGCCTTGTCTCTACCCTCTGACACTACAGAGCAGCTTTGCACTCTGACTTCATCTTGGCTGCTCCAATAGAGCCCAGCTTTGAACATTACTCAGAGTATAGATTTTCTTTAATGTTTGAAAAATAAGTAAACTATTAATACTAACAAAGGAAGGTATGTCATGGCATATAGTAGTGTTGATGGATTCATTTATTGGTCTCCTAAGTCAGCCTTCGTAAAACTTTTAGTGTTTGGAAAAAAGAGTAATCCATGAAAGGCTTGTAGGTCTTTGTTGCAGTTTTGGAGACTGCAGAAAAAGTTATTTTAGTTGCATATAACTGAAGTTGCTCCCTGATATTAAAAAATGTTTTGGAAAGGAAGTGACTCAGAATCGTGAGGGAGAAAGAAGCTTGAGTCCCTTGAAAGACTAGGGAGAGGTATTTTTGTTTTTCTTTTCATTCTTGGCTTTTCTCTCTCTCTCCCTTATCTCTTTCTTTCTCTTTCTCTCTTTTTCTTTCTTTCTCTCTTCCTTCCTCTTTCTTTCTCTTTCTCTCTCTTTCTTTCTTTCTTTCTCTTTCCCTCTCTCTCTCTCTCCTTCCTTCCTTCCTTTCTTCTTTCTTTCTTTCCTTTCTTTCTTTTTTTCTCTTTCTTCTATCGCTCTTTCTCTCTTTCTCTCTTTCTTTCTCTCTTTCTCTTCCTTCCTTCCTTCTTTCCTTCCTTCCTTCCTTCCTTCCTTCCTTCCTTCCTTCCTTCCTTCCTTCCTTCCTTCCTTCCTTCCTTCCTTCCTTCCTTCCCTCCTTCCTTCCTTCCTTTTCCTTTTTTTTTGCTTGTCCTAGGGTTTAAACCCTAGGCTTTGAATCTGTCTCTGAGCTTTTTGCAGAAGGCTGGTTCTCAATCACCTGAACCATAGCTCTACTTCTGGCTTTTTGTGGCTAAGAGGATATAAGAGTGTCACAGATTTTTCTACTCAGGCTGGCTTCAAACTTTGTTCCTCAGATCTCAGCCTCCTAAGTAGCTAGGATTACAGGCATGAGCCACTGGCACCTGGCTTATTCTTGGTTTTTCTTTACTTATCCATAGCATTCTTTTTGATGATGTTATTTTCCTCCCTCTCTCTGTCTCCCTTCCTTCCTATCTAGAAAGAAATAAGGTTTATACTCAGGGCCTTGCACTGGTGTGACTATTTGACTCATATTTCTAAACCTTTTTACTTTGGTAATATTTGAGATAGGGGCTCACATTTACCTTGAGCTGCTTGGATCATAGTCCTTTTATTTAGGCTTATAGCTGGAATAACAGCTGTGCACCACTGAACCCAGCTCTTTCTGTTGAGATGAAGGTCTTGTAAAATTTTTGTTCAGGCTGACTTGGAACCTCCGTTCTGACCTCAGCCTTCTGAGCAGGTATGAGTAAATGAACCTATTTTTCTCTTTGCCTAGGTTCATCTTTAATTTTCTTTTTTTTTAAATAAGTTTTTTTTTATTGTGAAAGTACTGTATAAAGGGTTACAGTTACATGAGCAAAGTAATGAGTACATTCTCATACAGCATTGTTGCCTCCTCTTTTGTTTTTCCGCTACCATCCCGTTCCTCCCATCTCCTCAACTATGGTGCCCCCCCCCCCCACCGGCCTAAATCGTAAAGTTCGTTTTTTGACATAGCAACTTGTACATCTCATTGTTGCAATGGGTCCACCTGTATCCCTATTTAAACGATTTGTTTTTCCCCTTCCCCTCTCCAAATTATACCAACATCAAATGCAGTGAAAACAGGGGTTATTCCATGGGGGAGGGACATACAAAGCAACAAAAAAAATCACATGGATCCTTATAAATACGTTAGGAACAATAGCAAGGAAGACAAAACCATGTGTGTCCCTAATTTTCTCCTTTTTAGAAAAATCAGAGGCCAGGTAATGAGTACATTTCTTTTTGAATAGTGTCACCTCCTCCCTCACTTTCTCCCAGGTTTTTACCTCCAAACCCTCCTTTACAACCAAATTTTATAGTTCATTTTCAACATAGTGTCTGGTGTGTGTCACTGCTAATTAGTTCACTCTTTGTCCCACCATTTCTGCTCTTCCCCTTCCCCTCCCCAAATCAGATAAACTTACATACAAGACAAAAGGTACAGTAAATCCAATGGATAGTAAAAGACAAAAAATTGCACTTGGGCATGATAAATTAAACATTCACACAATGAGACCAAAGGAGAATATTTGAGGAGGGGGTCATAAGGGCTCAGTAGCTATGTGCAAATGATCATATGAAATGGTGTTTTCAAAATGAACTCTGAGAAATGGAAACAAGAGGTGTTTTATTTTACTTTTTATAATTCTTTTTGTATTTTTTTTCCTTTTTGTCATTGTTTTTAGAAAACCCTTTTAAGCATGACTTAATTTCTTCATCTCAAAGATGAAGAGCTGCATGGAGGTCTTTAACATTTCTTTGAAGCTCTAAAATAACACATTCTACAATTGTTTTACTTTATTGGCTGGTGTACCTCATGAGAAGGGATCAGTAATTCTGCTCATCTCAGGGTAAAGTGTTTGGCTTCATTTCAGGAAATAATGTAGTAGGAACATAGACATGGGTAAGGGAGACTGAATTAGATCCCAGATTTCCTCTGCGTTTTAGGCCCTGCTTAGAATTTGGAACTTTGCTGGCATTTGAAAATTTGAGTGAGCTGCACTTTCCCATTTTTTTCTTTATTCTGTGGTCTTGGAAAAAAAGTGCATTTCCATATTTAAAATTAAAAAAATTGTTGTTATTCCAGTTACACCAGACTGGTGCTCTTCCCATCAGCTAGTGTGCATTTAGTCATGGGTTGTTGTTTTTACCAGCTGATGAAAATTACTCAAATTGAAGTCTTGTCTTAATCAACTAATACTGCACCATAATTTAGTTTTAGTTATTGTTTATAAGACTCTTTGAAGCATCCTTTTGAAGACAATTTATTCAACTCAGGGCCTGGCTATAGATTATAACCTTTAAGATTTCTAATTTCTGAGTATTATGACTTGGAAAATCGATGAAGGTAATAGTAGCTGCCCAGCTGGATGGGCTCTGGATTCCACAGTGTGGCTCGTCTTCCTGTCCAAATCCAGTTATTTCCTTCTCTACCACATTCAGTCTCCCCCAATAGGTTCTTCTTCCTGAGTCTGCTTTTCTTCTGAAAGGCTTGGGAAATAAATGTCATTGTTTGCTTCTCTTCAAAGTAGCACTTTCCATCAAAATGTTAGGTTCCGCTCATCTGTGCCCATGTAAACACTGGCTTCATATTGCGTCAGTCATGGGGTTTCTATCCACGTAACATCGGTGAGCAAGTATCCTTCTATGGTCATTAATCAAATCATTGTGTATAGTATAGAAGCAGCATAACATTTTTCATCTCAAGTGACATGAGGTCCCAAACCCCACCCTCTTACATACTTTCACTCTGACTCAGAGAACTTCTTCACTGAAATGAACCATCAGCATTCTGGGACCAGAGCATTGCATGGAGATGCCAAG